AAAAAAGAGAAAGTTACTATTAAGGAAAGAGAACAATAATAGAACATGAATTAAAAAGGCATAAGATAACAAGTGACCTTGCATTTAAATTTTGGAAGACTAAAGTTGACTGGGAAGCCGGAAGAGAGTTCCACGAGCGAGATTGCGAAACTATTAGTCCAGACGTTACGGTTAAATCTAGCCATTTCAACAGTAAAATGATGAGACCTTACTGCCAATCTAGTACTGCGCTTAAATTCATGATGTCTATTTAACAGGGAGGAAAGTTGGTCTGTCTACAAACGAACAAGAGAATTAATATTAAGGGAAAAGAAACGTAACCTACCTACGGCAATGTCTCCGTATTTCCTTCACAATAACCTCCTTATTTCAGAGTCCCGTCTATGTTACCAAACAATATTCAAAATTTTTTTTATAGACTACGAAGCAGTTGATTTCTTCCACTCTTTTAAACTTTCTCCATTTTCAATAGAAAGTTTAACTTCGTGGAAAACCCAGACATGGAAAATGACTAAGTTACTTTCCAGGCAGATCACGTACAGATATGGGCATCTTCAAAGTGGGATAGATTATATGATCCATGACTTTGGGGTAGTGTAATAGTTAGCGATTCAGAAAAAGAAATCTGCCAGCAGTGTTCGAATACCGACCGATACCTCGGCTTAAATCGTTTCAAGTTAAGTCATTTTCGAAGATACGTCAATTTTTCTGAAATATTACACTGAAAAATAAAACTCAACTTAGGTCGTTTTACTCGAGTTTACGTCGCCCTTTAGAAACATCAAACACTAAAATAAGAATAAACACATAAAATTATATTTAAATACACTTACAATAATATTATGTATACTATATATGTATACATATATACATCATACTTATTATAAAACCCAGGTTGTGTGTGTGTGTCTGTACGTTTATATATTGGATCGGATTTCCTACATTTTTCAACTGATTTCAACAAAACTTCACAGGACTACGTAAAATTACCTTGCGGTGGTTCTGACAGCCATGATGATTTCAAAAATTAGAAAAACACAATTGTTTTTGCACGAAATCAATTTGAAAACACAATTAAGAAGCATCGCGAGAATGAAAGGGGGGAAACTCATATCGAGTTATACTTATTATAAAATCCAGGTTGTTTGTGTGTATGTGCGTGTCTGTGTTCGTTTATATATGGGATCAGATTTCCTACATTTTTCAACCGATTTCAACAAAACATCATTTTTTTTGGCAAGTAGTGTTTCTTATTGTCTTGCACACTTTTTTCTTTTTTTTACATTCAGAATGCTTTAAAAATTCCATTTACAAGACAATTGTTTATAATAAAATTCTATTCAATCGATAGAGACTCATAACGATTGAAAACAATGTTTTTGTTTGAGTTTGGGTTTGACCACTTCGTAAAAAAAAAAAAAAAAAAAAAAAAAAAAAAAACAAAACAAAAACTAATTAAGACATGCGTGTCCGTCAACCTTAAACAATAATCTTTGTCAATTTTATTTTTCAGTCTTTATGATGGTCGATACTTGATCTATCTCTTACATCCCCGGCAACGCCGGACTCTACTGCAAGTATATATATATATATATATATATGTATATCATAAAATTATCAAAAACAAAAAAAATTAGCATAATAAAATATGTTCAGCCGATGTTCTCAAGGACACATGACACAGTGAATAAAGACGTTAGTTAGATCCAGTGAGAGGACCCAAAGAGTGTGAGTTCAATACCCGATTAAGGCAGTGGAGAACTTTCAGAGGGGAATTAACAGGAGATAACTGATAACTGACATCCATTAAACATGGCAAGTGGAACTAGAACAGTCTACCCCAGTGAGCGAAATAAAGGGTTCAGTTCGACATTCCCACCACCTGAAGAAAGCCATAGCGTACAACGGCCGAAATGTTGTAATAAATATGGCGACAAAGATGAGGAAAATATCCCGAATAATGTAAATAATACAGATGTTCTTATTTCAAATTCCTATCGACAGGCGACACTAGTGAGTTGTTTTTCACTCCAACAACGATTTCGAATTCAGACTTGTTTACATCTGTGTTCTGCCGTTGATGTTCTTTCGGTTACATTTCAATTGTGATTTAAAATACATTTTTTGCCCATGGCTCCAAAGAAAAGTCCCAGTGCAAGTTCTAATGCTAAGCGTAAGGCTATATCACTGCAAGAGAAGGTGTAAATGAATTACTTTATTCAGAATATTGTACGTACGTATAATAAATACTGTAATAGGCAATGAAGAGTGCTTATTTGCGGTTTATAGTGTGGTCATTTCGCCTTAAGTCGTTTTTCGACTTAAGTCGCGACCTTTGGAACCAATTAACGACGTAGGGTGAGGTATACTTGTATTCACTGATAACCTTGAGAAAAATATTCTTTCATCTTTTCTCCCCTCAGATACAGGTTAACTATCATGGTATACTGGGCATCCAGTACAGCAAAATGCCATCTCTGAATTCAAAACCGTAGCCTTGGCGACGTGACTGAAATCATCATCATCAGTTATTCGGCTCCTTCATCATCGTGGGTGGAGGCCGAAAAGCAGACGAAACAGACAATCTCCTCTAAGATGAATTGTTGGCGGTATCTCTCAGGGCTTCAGGCATTGATATGTCCGGCCAAACTTTTACGTTATGTGACCATCTCTTGCGCTGCCGTTAACAGTGCCTTACAGAATGATCGTGCAGGGTCTGCTATGCCGCGAGACCTGGCCAAAGCACGCCATCTTCTGATACTTAATTCTGCCGATGAGAGAATTCCTGTTGATTAATAAGACTTTTGACGTTGCTATATAAATAGCCATTAGATTTGTGCTTCCAGTAGGTGATGCGGGCTAACTTTCTCAAATATTTGTTTTCAAACGTCTGCAACATTTTTCCTGCCTCGACCAACCGTGTCCAAGTCTCAGACCCATAGAGTTGAATGCATCCAGTCAGCGATTTGTAGAGCATGAACTGGAAGCTGATGTCTGGAAGCTGATGTTGCTCTTCCATATCCTTTCTAGTCTAACAATCGCTTCCGGCTTTGGCCATCCGTTTGCGGGTTTCTGCGTAATCGGTGCCATCTTTTAACATATTACTCCCAAGTATTTCTTAATTAATCAGTTAAGTGCGGATCTGTATTATAGAATTGATGATCCCGGGTTTTTCACGCCTAAGTCCATCCTTCAAATCTACAAATCAACCATTCGTCCTTGCATGGAACACTGATGCCATATATGGTCTGGTGCTCCCGCTGTTCATCTCGAGGTCCTCGACAAAATCCAAAGACTGATATGCAACGTGATTAATCCTGATCTGGCATCTCGTCTACAGCCACTTTCTCAGGGACGTGCTGTGGTTTCCCGCTATCTTTTCTACAAGTAATTTAATGGCAATACTTCTGACGACCTACTTTCACTTGTTTCCAGACTGCATGAATTTAAGGGTGCTACGGAATCTCGGCCCCACCCTTTCACTGTCGAAACGGCTAAATGTAGTCATCTCTTCTACTCTTATCTCGCACTTTCCGCAAGTTGAACTCCCTTCCTCTTACTTGATTCCCCGATAGCTATAATCTTCAAATATTCAAATTTAATGTCAATCGACATCTTCTGATGCCTTGATCTTGATCCCCGTCCTTCTCTTTTTCCTTTCCCCACACACCCCTCCTTACTCTTGCTCTCATTCTCTATAAGCCCTTGCGTGCTAGTGGCACTCCGCCTTGCTTGGGGTGATATACTTAAAACAAAAAAAAAGTCGTATAAAAAAAGAGATGATTTCAAGAAATAAAAACAAATTGTGTTTCTCATGCAGTCCGAGATTTATTTGTTTTATCAAACGGCATTGAAACCGGTTGTTATGTGGTGTTTTGCGATAAACCCAATTCAATGTCTACATAGTGAGAGTATAAGAGTTTGAAACGATCCGACAATATAGTCTATATGTATGTCCCATTCAACAAGACGCTTCCATATTTCTTTCGTGAAAATTCATTAACCGAATTCCTTATAAATATTGCATGAAACGTTTGAATAAAGAAATCTGGTGTATTTTGTTTTATGGCAAACATTAACGAGACAGCAACGAGAAAACATTCAACTGGAATAAACTTCTCGAAATGATATATGACGAAACGAGCTAAAGGAAAATCTTTCATTGGTGAAATCTAATCTCTCTCTTTCTCTGAATATATATATATATATATATATATATATATATATAGAGAGAGAGAGAGAGAGAGAGAGAGAGAGAGAAATGTGTGTGAAAAACGAGGAAAAGAAATAACCTTCAAACACTACTCTAAAAATTTAAATAATTTTATTACTGAGTTTAAAATAAGTTCATACGAAATGTTTTGATTTTCTCTCTGCAATACAAAAGTAATGAATTGTGTTAGCATAGGGTGAAAGGTATACCTAGATTCTTAGGGAGAAAATTCACGATTTACGTCATATTATGTGTGTATATGTGATTTTATCAATAGCCGATAAAAACTTAACTGCTAAAATTACGCTTTGTTTCTATATCTCGCCGTAATTTGTAAACAGGTTGATGAAAAATACTTTAAAAGCGAGAATTAATATACAAAACAGGAAACTGGTACTCAATAAATTAATTTGTGGATGCGAAAATTTGAGAATTTAGTACTAATTATAATCCCCAATCGAATTATGAAGACTAAAGAATATTAGATTATTTACATTACGCTATTTATAAGAAAAAAAAACGGATGTGAGGAAGCAAAAGTTAGATTTAATAATATCATAAGTTTTATTGATTAATAAATATATTCCTCAATGTTTAATTTCGATTTTCAGGAGGGAAAATATTGTTAATCCTTTTCTGGCTTTAAGATTTCAATTTTAAATTCGAAGAAGAATGGTTATCTGCTTTTCGAAAACTTACATGGCATCGCTTATTAGTTAATAAATTTTATAAGATATAATATGTAAAGCGAGGCAAACACGTACACATGGACTTATTGCAACATCACGTTGAAAAACTGGTTCCTGTACGATCAGCGAAGATAAGCAACGTCGGGCCTAGTCAGTACCTAGATGGGTGAAGGCTTGGGGAATATTAGGTGCTGTAAGCTTCAATGTCCAGGTGGTGTAAAAGATAATGGCACAAAACTGTTAATCGTAGAGCCGAGTTCCAATTCCAGTTGGGTTGGTTATATTCACTTATGTGCAGATACATTTGGGATATGTCTCACCTCGTATTCGCAAGCGGTCACCCATCTAGTTACTGACATGGCCTAAGGTTGCTTAACATTGATGAGCCGGTGTTTCAACGTGATGTTGCCGTAAGGCGATAACGGTTGAGCAGAGAAAGCATCTTCTTAGGAGTCGGTTGCACAAAGACATGAAAAATGAAAGAAAGACGTTGTCCGAGTGGAACATGCATCTCACTAATGGAATATGAAGATAATGAAGGTGGTTTGCTACAATGTATGCAGCATGCCTGGTCTAGTTTAGAATTGATGGAACGTAAAAGAATGTAAATAAACAAAGATTGTCACAAAAAAAGAGGAAAACTTTATTTTCGGATTCTGTTATGATAACTGCGAGGAAACGACTTATTTATAAACAATAACGATCAAATTCGATCTTTATAAGTTCACGAGCCAAGAGGTTAATACATTCATAAAGGCGCCCCTTGAAGCTCACCTGAAAGGCCCGCAGATGAGCTCTGTTTTTATATGCCCACGTGCCGAGTTGAATCTTGAACGATACCATGACGCAAATGTGATCGATTATTGGTTTCCTCGTGCGTTTTGTTTGATCTTGATACGCTGGGACCTATTTACGGTCGCCGGGAAAGAGCTAGAACAGATCGATAAACCATTACAACTGCAGGTCAATTGAGATAAACGCGGGAGAAGGTGCGTGGTTGAAATCGTGGACGACACTGGATGATGGATGTATTTACAACTCTGTTGAGGCCAATTTTTTCTTTGTCAGAGAAACAGGTTACGAGGCTAATGATGTTGAGCATGTTGCGAAATAAACAGCTGAACATTGGAAGACTTGATTGTTGGGTGTGAGTGGGTTGGTTGTTGGCGAGGGTTAAAGAGATAACTGGATTTGTTGGAATTTTGATTGATCTTGGTGTCCGTAACGTTGCCACTGATTCTAGTAGAGTATAAATGTGCTTTCATTGGTTCTTCTCCTCCGCGCTCATGCGTACACACCAACATCCACAAAGCAAGCAATGGACAACAACGACGTTGGTAGGTTGACGATAATCCGATTCCACACTGATCCTCTTCAATAAAAATTTCGTTGCTAATTATTAAGTTAATTAAGTAAGGTCAATTCAAATATTCCCCCCCCCCCCACTGGGTAAAATCGCATACGGTCACAAGTTCCGGCGATTCCTAAGGCTGCAACCTAGCCAGGCAAAGACATGTTTTTTGCTTTGTTTTTTTTTTGTGGTGGGGTGAGTGGTAGAACTTTGTTCAGGGAAATACAAGTTCTAGGCAAATATCAATTTCTTTCGGGGCTAAGCTAAAAATAAGAAAAAAAAAACGGCTTACTCTGTTCTGTCAAATCTAAAAGACCGACTTCAGACTTCAATTCTGTCATATATTTTAATAAATTTGAACTTGTCCCGGGCTTATGGCCATATCAAGTTGAAAGTTCTCGTACAATCACCGAAGTTAAGCAACGTCGACTCGATGGATGGGCGCTTGGGGATACCAGGTGCAATAAGTTTGGATGTGCGCGTATTGTAATGGAATTATTAATCGGAGAGCCGGGTTCCAATTCCAGTTGTGTTCGTTATATTTACTTATACGGAAATACTCTAGGGAAAGGTATAAATCCACCTATTTTCCCCAGCTATGGGTTAATTAGTAATATTATATCACTAAAATCATTAATATGACCAAAACAATAAAAATCAAATTATGTACAAAATATTTAGATTTCGGAATTAAATAACCCATAGATCGTGTAATGTGGCGAGTTTGATCCACATTTGTTGTCTGCACATTGAGTCTCTGTTTTAGATTCAGCTGAGCTCAACAAACATCTACTTGCAGAAGCATAAACAAACAATAATAAATGTTCAGTTTTTCTAACGATGAATAGTACATATTTTAAAACAATGTGAAACGCAAGTGATAGTAGAACAGCTAACTGAATCATCTTTGACCGTGCCAAAGAATGATCTCCATCGAAACAGTCATATAGATAAAATGAGATTGATAAAAAAAAACAAAAAACTCTACTATGATCTCCCTCTCGAGATCTGGACAATTCGAAAAATTCCTACTTGGACCAATTGCAGGCAATAATCGACAAAAAATATTCGTAATTATAAAAAAAGGTTTAATCTTCTATCAAAATAAGGCGGTGCCACTTGTTTTTTATTAGGCTTGGTTAGGAAATATTTATTCATAAATGATAGGGATCAGATATTCATCTTTTCCATTAGCGCATGTTCGGTTTATTACAAAATCTTCTAAACGAAAACATCAAAATTATTGCAAGTTTGCATAAAGCCCGTTGAACTGATGTCTGCTGGGAAAGATCAAAAATTCTAGAAATATGGAATTATTAAATTGACTTAAAAATGGCAGAACATTCAACAGAGTTAATTCCGAAAGTGAACAAAATAATTGCCTTTATTTTTTAAGGAAAAATGGAAGACTTTTTTTTAAATATAATCCAATATCACAATGTTGATGACATCGCCATAAATCAGAAAGCACGCTAAAAACGAATGTTCTCAAAGGAAAGCACATTTTTCTCCTTTTCTTTTATTACCCATTCTCTCTTTTCTTTTCTTTCCTTTTCTACATCTTTCTTCCTTTATTTTTCTTTCCTTTTCTTTCCTTCATCGTTTCACTTTCTTTTCTTTTCTGTGCCTTTACTCCTTCCTTTTCTTTTCTTTCGCTTTCTTATTTTTCATTTCCTTCTTTGTTTTTCCTTTGTTCCTTTATTTTCTTCTTTTTCTCTTTCATCTTTTTTCTGTGCCTTTCTTTCTTTTTCCTTTCTTTCGCTTTTATCTTCCTTTTCTCTGCCTTTCTTCCTTTTTTCCTTTCTTTCGTTTTTATCTTCCTTTTCTCTTCCTTTCTTCCTTTTTACCTCTTTTTCTTTTTTCAACTTTTCCATTTCCTTCTTTTCTTCCTTTATTTTCTTCTCTCCGACCTTCATTTTTTTCCTTTTCTACATTTCCTCCCTTTCTTTTCATCTCTTCTTCTTTATTTTTTTCTTTCCTTCCTTGCTTCCCTGCATCTTTCTATCATTCTTTTTTTTTCTCCCCGTCTTTTTCCTTCCCTTGCTTTCTTGCTCCATTCATCTTTTCCTGTCTTTCTCTTTCACTTTTCCCTACTTTCAATTCATTTCTTATCCTTTTCTTTATTTCTCTTTCTTCTCGTTCACTTTCGTTTCTTTTTTCTTTTCTTCTTCATTCCTTTTCTCTCTTTCTCCTCCGTTTTTTTCTTCCCTTCCTTTTCATCTTTCGTCATTTCTTTCCTCCCTGTCTCTTTTGTCTTCTCCTTTTTCTTCCTGCCCATCTCTCTTTTTTGAAAACGCCGAAACGTAAAACTATTTCCAGCTCCCTCAAAATTTTTATCTTCATCATTTATTGCCAATCTAACGCATGACGCTGCCGAAGGCGGATTCACTATTTCGCCTCCAAAGGAAAACGCTTCAGTATGTGATATCGATCGGATACGACATCTTTGAATATCTCCTGCTAAGTATTCTTGATACACACTCCGGAGAAAACATTATTTGGCATCGTTTGATGGAAAACTTTCCAAATTTGATAAAGAAAGAGAAATAATTTCTCGGGGCATTATGCATGTAAGGCACTCTGCGTCAGAAATTCGAATACACAGCTCCACATTTTAACCTTTGCAGCTCCTAGTAATGTATGACTTTACGTCATCCCTACCCGGCACGTTCTGCCAAACATTCACACAAGCTCTTTAGATAGGTTACTCACTATTTTCTTCTGTTCTACTAGACTTTAATACGCCATATGAGTATGAAACTTTCTAAGCCATCTTTCCTCATTATGTTCATTAGAAATTGCGACTATCTTTTTCTGGTTCTAAGTTTGAATATCTATTCTGCTTCCATTTTCTCTAAAATTTTGTAATTGCTCACATATCCAGTCTATGGTATTCTCAGCATCCTTCTGTAGAATAAAAATTCTGTTGCCTCAACTCTCTCCTTCATCCGTAAGGAGATTGCCCGGTATTCAATGCTATATAAGACGACCGATATTACGCTTTAATTTTGTACTTTTAGTTTTTCTTTTTGAGGTTATAACACAATTTTCATGTTTCTTAATACTTTGCTTAGGTTTTGGAAGTCATCTTTCTCTATTCCAATGCGACTTTGGATTTCGATGTCACATTTTTCGTCGTCTGGTAAAACACTTCATAGATATTTCCGTCCTTGCTTGATTTTAGTGCTTCCCCGTTGTACTGCGCCATATTTTATCATTCACATTACAATTTCAAATGGTTTTATACTATTGTTCACCGAATCCAAGGCCCAGGAGACAATCTTTGTAGAGAGTTACGGGATGAGGGTCTTATAAGTGCGTAAAGGGATGAACCTTAGGTACCATACGTGAGGTACACTTGGGCGATTGGGTCTCTTTGTCACTCATGGCTATATGAGCTGAAGAATTCCTATAGTACGGTGCATTTATACAGCAGACTAGTTGCCAACTAAGGATACAGGACTCTAGGTCATAGGTCGGAGGAAAAACGATCTATTGATAACTTTACCCAAAGTGGATGTGACGAAATCGACTAGAATTCGAACTCGGTTCTCCGATTTCCCATTCCGAGCCGATATCCATGACAACCGAGTACATCCACGATTATAGCTACTGGTATTCCCAAAAGGACACCCATCTAGTCACGGACCAGATTCCTCGTTGCTCAACTTCAGTGATCAAACGAGAACCGTTGTTTAAACGTGATATGGCCTTAAGGGAATCGGAAGTGAGTTCAACAAGTGAAACGGGCGAAAAAGGAAATTGTCAGCATAGAACTTACATTTACACCTAACCATTTCAAGTGTAAAAAAATTAGACTTTGCCGCCAATCGAGTTGTACACTTGCATTCTTAAAGTCTAGGTAATATAGAAGAAAGCTCCTAATAACAATTACCATGAAGGTATTTATAGAAAAGGGACAGGAAAGCTACGTTACGGCGATGAAAAAGTAACTGAAGGCGAGATAACGGATGAGGATCAACAACATCATAGATTCTTCTTTGTAGTTTATCATGAATCTCTAAATACATAGCAGAATCACCAGATCAGATGCAACAGCAATAGCCAATGTATGGACGAATGGTAGACTTATAAATGTTTAAGATATATTATGGCTGTTAAAATTGTCTAGTACGACACAGTGTGCCAACATTTCCTATCAACATAGCCAGCAATTGATGGGCACGTGGCCGAGTGGTTAGAACAATCGCATGTAGACCATGCAACCCGGGTTCAAATCTTATCATTATATGTCCGGAAGGAGACGTTTCAACGTCCGTTTTGCTTCCATTTTCTCTAAAACTTCATAATTGCTCACATATCCAGTCTATGGTATTCTCAGCATCCTTCTGTAGAATTACGTTTCTGTTGTCTCACTTCACTGCAATATAACTTGAACAATATTACGGTTTACTTTCGTGTTTTTATCTTTTCTTTTTTTTTGATTTTATAAAAAACTCCTTCCAAGATATTCTCAGCATCCTTCTGTAGAATCACATTTCTGTTGCCTCAACTCTCTTCTTCATCCGTGAGTAGATTACCCGGTTTTCACTGCTATATAGCACAACCGAGATTACGTTTTTAGCTTTGTTCTTTTATCTTTTTTTTTGGTTTATAACAAAATTTTCATGTTTACTAATACCTTCCCAGTGTGCGGCACCTTTGGCAAGTGCCTGAAAACCATACGACGACCCAAGCCTTGTGAGTGAAATTAGGTCGATGTACCCTACGGAACCCGTCGATAGCTGTGCTAACACAAAGTCACAAGTCATTGTGGCCGAGAAACTGTAACAAAGGTCTGCTCAGTATAGTTGTATAAACCAGAGATGGGCTCTGTTGGTGTTAAATAGCAGACGGGTATCCTCGAATACAACTTGCCAGCTATACATAGTAATTAAATAGATCTGTCTGCGGGAAACGTTGACTTTAGAATCTTACACTTAACATTTTTGAAGCAGAAAGAATGTAGTCAAGATGAAGAAAATAATAATAGTCCTCAGAATCTAATATAAAATATGTTACTAAAAGGCTGCTATATTCTTACAGATTGTATTTTTGCGTGTATCATTCTATGTGAGTGCGTGGTCTAATTGTTAAAACGTTCTATTTTTGGCCATAAGAACCAGGTTCGAATCTCACCATGGTTGATTTGTCAAGGTGACTTCTTGATGTTATTGGTCTAAGGAGGCGATCTCAGCGTGCAGTATATTTGGAAAGTGCCTGAAATCCATACCACGTCTTGTGAGTGAAATTCTGTAAACAGAACTGTACGGAAGCCGTCACTGAATGGGCTAGCATGAAGTCACAAGTCATCGTGACCGAGAGTTTGAACTTACTGGTCATGTTCAAACTGTTGGTAACGCCAGAAGGTGTACTGTCTCCAGAAACTGTAACTAAGGTCAGCTCATCATAGTTGCAGTGTAAGCCAAACAAGACCTTTTAAATGTTTAATAACTCCTTTCATGGGATCCACTGTCATGTACAAAAGTAACAATAACTAGTTGGTGTCTAAGCGGAAGGTAAGCCCAATGTGATGTTTGGACCACTTAGCCGTCATCAAGGTACCCAAAACGTGCAGCCTGAGAGCATCCAACGATGTTTGCTGCTTCTTCTTTTAAAGTACATGCTGTTCTTGGTCAGAGAATGGAATTAATCCAGTCAGACGTCTTGCTCCATTTTAAAAGATTTAATGTCCACGCATTGAGCCTCGCAATATTAAACAAGGACGGTCATACTCGACAACGAGGTGGAAGCTATCATTACGAAAGAAAACATTCCAAATATGTAAATTTGCAATGGTATAAATATTTTTTCTTTGAAAATGCCCATGAGTTTTGAATATACGACTGAAAACTTTTGACATTCTTGATGTGTTATCGTCTGGGGAACAGAACTATACAAATAGCGATATTTTATGTAGTTATATATTTTTAAATATCAGCTCACAGTATGAAATTTTGTTTGAATTTTAGAAAGATAGATAGATAGATAGATAGATAGATAGATAGATAGATAGATATTGTGTGTGTTTTAAATACATTTACTCCAAAACTTATTTCATGAACACATCGAAAAATTATGAATATACAAAAATATATACAATTATCAATAATATTCAACTTGGCCATTTTTCCAGATGTTATAATGACGGATAAAATTAATGAAATTCCATCAGTTTTGAAGGATTATTTTAAACTAGTGTACCTGTACCATGAAAAAATGACGATTATTGTTAGAAAGTTTTAATAGTGAGATGCAATTAAACAAATATCTTTAGACAATGTATAGCGATTCAGTAAAATGGAGATAAAGTATTCACAACTGAAATCGCTTGTCTGCCTTTGGTTGAGATAAGTCACGTGGGTCACACGATGGCCACCTTATGACGTCACTTTATACAGTGATGAAAAGCGGCACTCAAAATTCAGTTCGTTTATACCAGCTAAACCTTAAGGTTGCTTTCTTTCGCTCAGACCACATGGACCGGACGGCGATAAAATCTGCTCTCCCTGCTGCCTATTTTTCCCGGATATAGAATGAAATTCCAATTCGCAGTCAGTCCTCAATTTGGGAAAACTCAAGACACGATGTTTCCTGGAATATGTCCTCGCCTGGGACATAGATGAATCCGGTTCGTTTGAATCTAGAGTCCTAAAATTTCCTTCCCCACGTACAAGAGTATCTCCATATTATAAGAATCTTTTTTGTTTCTTCTAACGCTCTGCTATGTTGTGTAGATATATGTGATATATTATTCACTGCGTGGGATACGTGTATAAAGGTAGATATAGTTTGTGTATCCCGTTGTAGTATAAACGTCTCTCTGAGAACAAAGCATGTTTGTCATTCTTTTTGCTTTCAAGCCATTCCGTTCCATCCGTGAAATATCGCTGTTATTATTATATCATGGATGTAATAATGCCCATAATGGGGAAAATAAAACGGGATAATAAATTTTCTTCCCTAGTTCTACAGGCACAGAAGCAGTCCGATCTCCGTATATTTTTAGACGTTCAATAGTTTCTATGATTCATTGATAACTCTTGGTAATATATAAATAGCTTTTTGCTCAGTATATTTTCATGCTAAAAGTGTTATGTATTTAATATAAGAGCAAAATGGGAATATCGCTCGGAAGAAAATTACTAGCAACGGAACAACAAAGACGGCGACAGCAAAGTCTATTTCAAGACAAAGTTGAAGCAAGACGATCATATAACAGACAATGGTATCTGAGTGCCTCAGAGGAAGGACTTGAACAAATAAGACTGCAATCTAAGAAATGTAGGAATAAAGGAACTGATTAA